GCAGTTGTACTTCGCAGCACTTCACTTGCAATTTGCAATTTCTAGTTATACTTGTATTTCATCGTCTGAAACACAAGGAGAGGCAGCGACAGAATTGATCAGGGGACCAATAGACATCAGAAATTCAAAGCAGACGCAAGACTTTTGCGCTGAATACTCCTTTCATTTGTGAGGGAAGGGAGGTTTGTTCAACACACAGTTTTGAGTTAAAAAAGAAAACTATATTTAATTTATATATCTAAATTAGTTATTAACTTAACCTGAATGAAAACAAAATAATTTTCCCCAGGTCATTTAACAGAGATGTACTGTAGGCCCGGGCCTAAATCACACATTTCATGCATTCATTTTTTTGCAAATGAATTGTATAGTAAAATAATTGTAAATTAGCAAGTTTACTGTGAATAGATGATGAAAGTTTTGTAAAGGCCAACTCAGACAGCGTCAGCCGACGCAGCCCGACCCGATTTATCGTCGGGGACAGTCTTAAGCCGTCGTGAGAAATATTAAACACGTTTAATATTCTACTACGCGACTGCCCCCGACGCACACCATCGCGCCTGTGTTCAACTCACACAGACCCGACGCGATTTGTTGTCGCTGCGTCGGCCGACGCTGTCTGAGTTGGCCTTAAGAGAGCTACTAGGTCACAAGTAGTATACAAATACCGTATTTATTCGAATAAGTGCCCCGGGGAAATTTTTGAGAAGTGTTTTTGAGGCAGTGTTTATTCGAGGGAGACGTTAATTCGAGGAAGGCATATATTCTTTTGGTGTAAAATGGATATGTAAATACTCTAATAAACGCCCCTTAATTTCACTGTAACTACAACACATGTAATTACCACCACAGTGTGTTATTATTGCCTGAAAATAAAGACTGACTGATGCCAACCAGGTTAGAAAAAATATTATTTTACTAGAGAGAACATAGATAGATAGATAGATAGATAGATAGATAGATAGAAATCTTTCTTTATTTTGGATAATAATAATAATAACTTTATTTATCCACGGATACTCTTTTCAATCTTTTTACAAAGGTTGGTCTTCCAAGAGGCCGTGTTCTTAAACTACTGATATGATAAAAGAAAGGGAAAACAAACATGGAAAAGTAAAAACCTACCAACTGTAAAATTAGGAACTAATACTACTTTTAAACAATTTCAAATTTGAAATAATAAAATCTGCGGTTTCAAAAACTGGTCAGGATACTCAGTCAGTATTATTACACTGTTCTTAGCTGAGGTCCAGTGTATGATGTTAAATTACACAAAATTATACAAAAAAATTAAAAGAAAATGCATAAAAAAAATATATACAGATTACATAAATACAAAAACAGAAAAGAAAAACAAATGGGTAAATTAAATGAGATTTTTAAAGGATTGTAAGGAAAGGGAATGAATATTGATATGAATGTCTGATGATAAGATTATTCCATAATTTAACTGAGCGATATTTCAAAGTTATTTTTCCAATATCATTTCGCCATTCTGGTAAGACTAAATGTTCTTGTTTTTTGGATTACATCATTAATAGAATGTGTTGAGAATGGTGTTGCTTCTAATAGATTTGTTTACAGTCATTTAGGGTTCATTTATTCGAGGAAAAAATAAACGCCATGGAAAAATGTTTATTCCAAATGAGGCTCTAGAAGGGGGGGGGGGGCGTTTATTCAAATAAATATGGTATCATTAATATATTAAATTTATGCATGAGATTTTGGTCTTTAAGTGCGAGAGTGTGAGATAGATCTCAAATGCATGAGTCTCCCGCTGAATGCGCAAGACTTAGTAGGTCTAACATATGGAAAAATCTCCACGGTTCAGCAGACGCATAGTGGCAACTACACTTTAGCTACTTGTATCAATTAATTAAATTTTACGTGTCATTCCTAAAAATCAAAAATTCCTTCATAACGTGTTATTGTAAGAAATACAAAAATTTGTATTTCAGGATATTTCCATGAGTGCCTATGGTGATATTGTACAATCGTAACAAATTCTTTAGTGACGCTTACAGTGTCTACAGGGGATTTTCATGAGTTTATTCAAAGTTCAAGTACACAATCACATCAAAAGTAATTAAGACATTGGATATACAGCTATTGAGCACAAAACATTTCACGTCATTAAAACTGTTTAATGACTACTTCCCTAGGCTCATACATTCTTAAGGAGATAGAGATAAAGGCCACAAAACTAAAAAAAAAATGTTTATCATCTGAGTTTGTAAAAACAAAGAGGAAAATGAGGTCTCTTGGTTCTTCTTCACAGTAATGGTCACAAGACACAGTTGCATATCCAGGCCTACTCCAGCCCACATCCAAGCCTAAGCCAGTCCATATTTAGGCCTTTGCCAGGCCTAGACATGCTCAAATTCTAAATGCTCATAAGAACTTGTGGCGGTTTGATGCAACAGTTCCCATTCATGTTCTTAACCTTGTGGTTAGGAATTTAAACTGCACGCTGACCATTCTCGGTTGACTGTGCCTACTGTAGATACACCAGTTTTCACTGTTGATGGGCTGTGAAATAGTTCATGCTATCTTTTAGGCCCAGTTGTGAGCATTTCAAGCCTTATTAAAAAAAATATGCAAACAAATAACCTTTTACCTAGAAGTGGCTTTTAGCTGGGATTTCTGCATATTATAATGGCTGTTTCACCTTACCAAAAAAATGAGGTTGCCCAAAAAAAAAATAAAATAAAATGTGATGAGGATAAGAAACATTGTTTTACCTCTATTTGGCCTATTGGGCTTTGATTTAATTTACAACAGTTCAAGTACCTTATTTGTATATCACTTATATTTAATGATGATAAAGCTACCTCTTTGTTGCATTAGCAAGACATACTATATATAATTTAAATGGCTAATCTAGTAAAGAAACCACTGAAACACTGAGATCCATGTGTCTAGGGCCTCCAAGAATGGCCCTGGGCAGGCAGCAAAGACACCTGGGACCCAAGAGCGGGGTGGTCCTGCATTTTATGTAATCAGATCCCCGCCTGTCCACCCTATCTAGGTGGTAGGTGATTTCAGGCAACTTATTAATCATTTATCTTCCTTGGCAAATTTCACAAAAATGGCTGGCAACTATGTGACAAATGATCAGTAATTGAAAGTGAAATATATCTTAAACTCACCTGTCAGTTGTCACTCTTTCAGGTGTTCCAAAATCGACATACTGTATGGTTACCAGATTCAGGTTCGACACTTTGAGGATTTTAGCGCGGTACCACTTACTTTCTTGTCCATACAATCCAACACAGCACAGACCTTTATAAATACATAAAATAATAATTATCATTCCCAGCACTTATATTGTATAGTATGTTCTATCTTAAATCAATCAATTTATGCAATCCCTCATCGCCCTGATGAAAAATAATAGCAAAGGAAGCAAACTAAAAAAAACATTGAGTGACATTAGGTTAAGGGCAGTGTGCTGTTTTTCCGCACTTCGATTACTGTCTGATCATGCAGAAACATAATTAAGCTGACGTCGTCACTTAATGACACCTAGAATCACCTACTTGAGAAAAAAAGCCAAGAAGTCAATGAATGTGTGATAATCTTGAAATTAAAACACTGGTATCATTTGCCAGCAGTCTTTGCTGGCTTCATCAAGTGTTAAGTGACTTTATATGCAACAATCTCGAATACACAATCATATACAACATGTGTCTACAGTAACAATACACACTATAACGTGTGTTCACAAAACATCCACAGTAACAATCTTCATACAGAACGTGTTTCCACACAAAATGTGGACACAGTAATAAATACAAAAGAATACAGAACTGCAAAAAGTCCGACTACCTGATTTTGTATGCACGCAACAAAACATTACAAAAGTGCTATCACAAGATTTTACAAATGCCTTTAACATTCTTTTGAAGGATGCCCTCTAGTTCATGGTTATACTTTATTTGAGATACGATTGCGTTCCAACGACAACCCGAGAGTTGGATCTCTTGCAGTTCTATACTCTTTGATATAACATAATTATGTCGGAAAATGTGTCCACGAGTAACAATCATACACAACATATATTTCCCCTACATAATGTGTCCTCTCTAACAGTCCTACACACACATGTCCATATAAAAATTATAATACACACGCAGCTCCACATGTGATGAACCAGGCCGACTGGTTTTGCTTGAAATGTCCAAGATTAGCAACAGTTAAATGACCATATGAGTAGCGGAGAATTGGTGGAGAGGTTTTGCCTCAAGCAGGGGAAGTAGGTACATGGAATTATTTTCTTTAAATTAATAGGCCAATAAATAAACATCACCATTTGAATTGGTACTTTTTGTATTTAATAAGTTTTTAGCATTCAAAATTAAAGCGGAATAATATTTGCTTTAGCAAATAACAGAAGCTTAAATATGTACCATCAGTCAAAAGACAGGAAAATATCTCAAAAATAAAAAAAAATAATAATCTGAACAACTCATTTATAATAATCAAATAAATTAGTAGCTTCCAAAAAAAAAAAAAAAAACAGATCGAAAAATTTTATTTTTAATCAATTTACCAACATTTTATTTCAAAAATATTTAAATTGGCTGGTAATAAATTTAAGGATTTTGAAAAAAATTCTTTTTCAATATTTTGTTTTAAAAACATTTTTTGTTACAAAAAATTATGAACAGATTAGGTAAAATTTTGTTTCAGTAGATGCTATTTGGGATGAAAAATTACTTATCTTGACTTTCAATGTTACGCTCCTCAATATCAGACATCAAAATTTATCTTCAACAATACTAAAGAAGCACGTAGCCAAACATATAACAATCTAGTTATCACAACTTGGAATAATAGTCAAGGAAAAGGGACTTTTCTTTACCATTCAACAAAAAAGTGCAATGAACTACATGAATTAAAAATTAACTTTCAAAATATGTTGATACATTCATGCCAAAACAATATTACTACATAAATTATTTTGTTAACTCTTCTTACTGTATATATATATATATACAGTATACTGTATATATATATATGTATATATATATATATATGTATATATATATATATATATATTCCTTTAATTATTGTTAATTCTATATATTGTATATATTTTAGTTACCACTGTACCACATTGAAAATCAGTGAAATAGTACTGAAAGTGCCTACAGTATAAAGAAAGAATAATGAATAAATAAACAATTTTGATGTCCTACTCAAAGCAATATTAATTGTTTAACAATTTGATAGTGTGATTGATTTCATCAGAGTTACTCCGACTCATCACACACCATTAAATGATATCATCATTTTCATTTTGTTATCATCACTGTATACATTGTTTATATTCTTGTATTTCACAGGTACTGTGTATAATTTATCATGCCATGTGACAACATAATGAAATCTTTAATCAATTAAGTTTGCAAGAATGTATGAGGGACACATAAAAACTGGCTTATAACTTGGTTAGAGGTCATAGTTTATAATGTGAAGATTGGGTTCAACTAAACTTCAAATAAAAAAAAAGAATTAAATGAAATTGAAAACAAAAGGAACAACAGAAACAAGGACGCTATCTGTCAAATGCTAAAAACTTCAGAAAATAATTAAAATTATAATAAAACATTACAACAGTACAAAAAGTAGTATTGTTGAGAAAAAGAAGTGTTTGTTCACTGCAATTGTAATAAAAAAAATCAATTTTTCTTTACGATGGCATAGAAAAATAATGTTTTACTAATGAATTAGTGCTCTGTATGCAAATTAATGGATTTGATATTCAATATGGTCCACGGATAGAAACATCTCCCAATGGAACACACAATAAGCCATTTATATCGGATGTTTTGTAATGCATTCATTCAGTTGATGATGGTATTGCATTAATTCTAAATTTTTCTAGGCCTGATAACTTTTATTTGGCAAACATTGGGAGTGAAGGGAGCATGGAAACACTTTGGAATGATATCTCTATGGGGATCAAAGAGGTAAAATACTCCTTGTACAAGAAAAACCCCCAACGAAAAAAGTGGGTGTGGTCAGGCGTCGCAAAAAATCTCTCGAAAGTGTTCCACTTTAGGGGTTTCAAATCAAATTTGGAGTCTTAACATGTAGAAAATATATATATACATTTTTTTTCTCCCCGATAAATTGTGGTTCTTCTCCCCGAACAGGTGGAGGGGAGGGGGGTGAGCTCTCCCTAACGGGGGCCCTTGCACCCCGCTGGCGCCACCCTGATCATGGTGGGGCTGAGGTTAATTGGACCCCTGTTAGGGAAACTAGACTTCTTGTCATTTAACTTGGACTCCTAGTTGAAGAGTTCCATTAAAAGCCAAATCTGACAGCGTTGTACAACACAGCCCAACATGATCTATATTTGTATTGTGTCTGTAAACGCAGACGCGATGGTTTTCGTCAGGGACAGTCATGTCATAGAAAATAAATATATCTCACAACAACTTAAGACTGTCCCCGACTATGAATCACGTTGAGCTGCGTATTAAATAAGAAGGAAAACAGAATATCTTCAGTACAGCAAAGTAATACAATATTAAATTTAAAGTTTCTAAGAAATCTAGGACAGTTTTATTTACCTGCAAATTATGTAATAAGGAAGATAATTGTTTTCATCACAGAAATGAGGTTAATAAAATCAGACTATAATATGAAATTTGAGTATGATTGTTTACGTCTATTTACAATTCCGATTCAGAGAAAACCAATATACTGGTCTAATACCATAATCAATTATCAGAAAGCTTTGGTAAACGTATGATAAAACTAGAGGAATGCTTATTAATTTCTAAAAATCAGGAATCCAGAATCAAGATGCAATAGTTAAGGACCAAATAGAAACCAGAGCATGTGATCTTAAAGAGCAGAGGACACTTTATGAAGAGCAGATGACTTTTAAAGTCACAATTCATTCTTGGGCTAGACCCAACATTGTCATATTTCTTGCATAGGTCTGTACGAAGGGGTGAGGCAGGATGATAATGCACGCAGGATGATAACGCACCCATAACTAAATACTAGGTATTGCATCAGTGTCAGAAATGCTCTGGAAATACTAACAGCAATGGAACATTTTTGTAATATTAGATCTCAGAAATTTAGATAAGGTACATTGACATCTGTCCCTGTCAGTGGTGGATCCAGAAATTAGAAAAAAAAAGGGCCCGGGGAGGTATTTCCCAGATGGAGGATCTATACCTCATCCCCACCATGTTTGGGGCTCAGATAAGAACATTTGTGATTATGGCACCTCTAGATGGATATAAATTTCTTTATACTGTATCTATATTAAAAAAGAATTCTTAACAATTTAGTTAATCCTTCACTTCACAAATACACAAATAAAAAAATTAAAGGTGGTTTAAAGAAAAAATACTGGGAGACAATGATACTAAACAAGTATATTTTTTGATTTGATCTAATAATTATTTTTTTCCATCGTCATACATGAAATCCTCCAGCTATTTTTACTTAGATTTTTGTCAGAAAAGTATGCTTAGCATAGAGCTTACAATCAAAAGATTGTTGGTTTAAGTCCTTAAGGTAAGACAAATAATCTTGATTTTTATCCCCGTTTTCTACTCAAAGTATGATCAGTTTTTATGGATATTTTTTCTGTTGTTTAAGTAATTGTTCCTAAGCGGTTTCACTTTTACAAGCAATGTTCTGCCCCAGTTTGAATGGCCTTTGCTTGGTTATGTTAAATGTATTTTGGATTCAATGACCTAAGATGTAATGTAGGAAATACAATAGCACATATTCATTTCTGAATGCAAAGTACTGTAATACATAGTAATACTGAAGATATAAATATTAATATTGAGGATAATTTATCACCTGATATTGTTACATTACCTAGTATTATTTCTGTTTATCTATTTGAGCGGACCCTTGCAATTGTATTTCTATGTAAAATTAATTTTACAAATGACAATAAATTACACTAAATACTGGAACAGCTATTTAAAAAATATTATTCTTTCCTATTATAACAAATTCCCAATACAAAAAATTATGAGTTTATCACCCTCACGAGCATGCCTTCTATGGTACTGAAATTTTTTTGAAAAACAAATTTTGGAAAAAAATCTTTTTTTCATTTTGTTAATTACAAGATGTTGTTTGTATTATCTCAGTAATGTTTTATGTTGAATATCAATGCACCAGCAAACAACCCATGTGTAATATTTTGCTTCAGCAAAAAAAAAAAAAAATAAATAAATAAAAAATAAATAAAAAACTTCACTCAATCATCACTTTTCCAGCATAGTGGTGATTAA